TAAACTTGTGGTGATCTGTTACAGCAGCAGGAGGAAACTAACACAGTGTTAGAAGATTTGTCACAGGAAACCGCACCTGTCAGTGTCTGCAGACAGTGCTAGAGAGGGACCCCCACCCCCGAGGGTCTCCCCAGATCATCCCTGGCGTCAGGTGGCTCCTCCTGTCCAGAGGCCACGGGGCCATTGCCTCCTGCCTGCTCTCCCCTTGTTCGTGACTCTCACCCTTTCGCGCTGGGCTGCAGTGGGGTCTGCTCCTGTTTTCTTGGTTCTTGGTCCCTCCCCTCAGCTTTTCTGCAGCCTGACCCCCCTCAGTCTTGGGAGAGGAAGCCACTCTCTGCCAAAGTTTATTACTACACCCTCACCTCTCCCATCCCCTCCTCCCAAGGATTTTCTTAGCTCTGAGAAGCTAAGAAAACAGCAACCTTGTCCAGGGCATTTCCCCTGCTGCCTCTCCTGTTCTCGGCCGCCATTCCTGCCACCCCTCATGGCTTCGGGAACCAGAGAGCGGGGCCACCCCTTCTCAATGCTGCTTTGGGGGCCTGCTCCAGTCTGGCGATTCCTTTCTCCATCCCTGGGCCCTCGGGGACAGAGATGTGGCTCAGAGAGCTCCCAGGGGGCACAACAGGGGGACAGACCCAAACGGAGGTGAGGAGAGAAGATGGAGACTTGTGGAAAAGAGGCGGGCAGTGGCTGGTGTAAGTCATTCCCAAAGGCTGGCTGGTGGCTGCTCGCTTGGCTGGCAGCTTATTAAAGTCATATTCCTGAATACCCCTTTCACCCCATAAACGCCCCTTTGCCAGAACAGAGTCTCTGAGGGTGGTCCCGGAACCCGCAGTTAACACGCTCCCTGGATGTGTCTTCTACCTGGAAATTATGGAAAGGGCCGTGAAGTCAGCAGCCCTGGGCCAAACCCTCCTGATGTGAGAAAGTTATTTAACTTCAGCAAGCCCAGTGTCTCTTCCATAAAGTGGGGGCTCTGATAAGTACGTGAGAGGAATTATGAGGATTAACATAAATACAGAAAGCACAGAGGCAGAGGCTGTGGGTGCCCTGCCCCTACCCTCCAGGGCCCCATCATCTTGGACATCAAAGGACCTAACTTCTGACTGCCTGAGGGCCCAGAAATGCCAGAGGATGAGTGCCCCCATCCCACTCAGCAGGCTCCCCCAATGGCAGAATGGGGTGGGTGTATAAATACCCCAGCTCCCTCATCCTTCAGGCAGGATCTCTCTGAGGTGGTGGTTCCCACGCTGGCTCCCCAGGTCACCCAGCGAGATTAAACTCCACCCCCAGAGGTAACGCCTAGTAACACCCTTTGTGAGTTGTCTTCCCTTCTCTGCCTCACTTCCCCACTCTCCTACTGGAGTTGAGTGTCAGCATTTCTCAAATAAATGACTTGCCCTTGACTCCTTGTCTCAGGTCAGCTTCTGGGGGACCCCAGGCTGAGACGAGCCCTTGTGCAGGGCTGGCAGCCAGGAAGTGAGTGCTCTTTCCTCTCCTCCCCTTTGGCTGTCAGTGCAGACACCAGGTTAGCCCAGACCAGGTGAAGTCACCACAGGGCCTTGGGTCATGCTGTGGCCTGGAGGGGCGTGTGCAACCACAGCTGTCCAAGCATCAGCAAAGATGGGCCCCAACTGGTTGGAGGAAGGCCATCGTGGTCCCAGGGAGGCCAACCCACCCTTTTCTCTCCTAGATTCTCAATATCTGCTGGCTGGGGAGCAGAGCTATATCCCCAAACCCAATAATCCTATCTCCCCTAATCCCAAATCCCTCATCTGTAATTGCCCCTAACCCCTCCCGTCTCTTACCCCATCTCCCTTTCCTCATTCCTCCAACAAAGCAAACCCTCCTCAGAGACACTGCCACGCCAAGCCCCAGCTGCCTGGCCCCCAGCCACATGAATTCTAGCTCCCAGGGGCATTGAAGTCACCTCCCAGAGAAATCCCTATGATTTCATCTTCTATTTAATCTTTATTTCGCCTCATACTTTTTAAAACTTCAAATAATTTCTCATTTGTAGTAACTAGGAAGCCATAAATCGCCCCTTTATGTCTGAGGAAAATCAATTGTTATTTGACATTTTACCTTAATATTCCTGACTTCCTTCAACTGTAATAAAGCTTCCATCTGCCTTTTATTTTACAGGCAATTAGTAAGTCACCTTTTAAGAATTTCTCCACATTTGCTATCAAATGAATGCCAGGATCGAAAGAGGAGAGCTGTTTTATGGCATTGAACTTAGCGAGTAGAAGGGGTTTATCTGTAGCCTTAGAGGTACCAACACTCATTAATGGGTTTTATTGATTCGGGGGCTTTTTAACCCTTAGCAATAATACAGGTGTCACCAGCCTTCGGCGCTTGGGAGGGGGCGGGGATGCTGGGAGGGGCCGGGAGAAGCCCACCCGGTTCTGAGCTCTGGGCCCAAGCTGGAAAAGTAGAGAAATGAGTTCCAACCCTTTGAAATGTGATCACTCCTGGCCCAACCACTCTCAGAGGTAAATCACAGCCCAGACACCTCCTTTTTTCCTAGAGAGAAAGTTTGGTTTTTTTTCTCAAATTACCCAGGGGAATGTGACACGGTTGCCCGCCCACCACGGGATCAAAAGAAAGAGGCCTGGTTTTGGGGTCCGAGGGCCTGGGCGTGGTTCCTGGATCTGCCTCTTTGAGCGCTGGGACCTCGGGCAGGTCAGTGAAGGCACCTCTGAGGCTCAGTTTCCCCAGCTGCGAAGTGGGGAGAAGAACCTCCTCCTTGTCGCCTCTCAGGGCTGCCGGGGTCTGTCCACCAGACCACGTTGGTGAGAAACACTTCGAAAACCGTGTGAGGCGGAGAAACTACGTAAGGAACTAACGGGGACTATGGTCACAAAGCGGAATCTCAGTCCACCAACTCCAGAATGGTCCCTTCCTTGCTTTTCTAGAACGCATCCTAGTCTGTTCTGCACCTTGTTCCACAGGGCTGCTGGGACTTGGGTCCCAGCCTTTCTCCAGCATGTTCTCCAGAACCTCCAGCAGCCTTCTCCCCTCGTCAACAGGCCACCATCTGACCCCAGAGCCTGGGAGGCCTTTCTGGGTCCAGACAGCAGGGCTGGAAGCTTTGGAGCTGTCAGCAAGAGACGAGAGTCCAGTCGCTGAGGACAGAGTCAAAGATGAGCACAGATAACGCAGCAAAAGCCTCACCATAGACATTCAATGAAGCAAGTACAGGAAATGTTCGTGGTGGAATCTAGGTGGTAGGGTGTACGAGTGTCCACTCTGCAATTCTTTCAACATAGCTCTATCCTTAAACTTTTTCATCAAAATGTTGGAAGAAAAAAGTCTCAGTCTGGGGCAAATCTCCCGGGTCGGGGGCCTGCCTGTGATGGGAGAAAAGAACTGGTGTGAGTGACGAGGAGGAAGACAAGGGGCTTCTGCGTCCAGAGGAATCTGCTTGTAGAAACTGCTACATTATTTGTGGGCCCAGTGCAAAACAAAAGTGCAGGGTCCCTTCTTCATACCCTATAAGAATATCAAGATGGTGACAGCAGAGCATTAAACCAAGCACAGGGCCCTTCTAAGGGTGGGGCCCTGTGTGCCTGCAGAGGTCACCCATCCGTGAAGCCAGCCCTCTCTGCTTGGATGAGAGGTCTATTTTGACCAACCCCTTCCCACTCATCTCTCCATTTCTGATTGTAAAACAGCAGTCCTCTAAACATCATCTGATGCAAGTGAACAACAAGTGGGTAGGTTGGGGCCTTTTCTAATAATAATAAGAGCTAATGCTTATGTGGCCCTCGCCGTGTGCCAGGCACTGAATCAGCCCTTGACATTGTAATTACTCATTTAATCCTCCCAACAACACTATGAGATAGGACTATTATTACTCCCATTTCACAGATGAGGAAATGAGGCACAGAGAGGATAAGTCTTGCCTAAGATCTCAGAGCTGATAAGTGGTGGAGACAGGCTGTGGTCCCTGGCAGTCTGGCCCCAGAGTTGTGCTCTTCATCACTCCGCTCTGCTGCCTCTCTGAAAAGATAACCAGGAAAAGCCCGACAGCGACGGCCCCCTGGCTGGAAGTTTTGCCCCTCTCAGGAGGGCAACCTTCTCAGCATTTCTGGCTCAGTGCTTCTCAACTACAACGTCACCATACACCATCTTGAAGTACATCATAGGCATCATATTACTCCTTTTACAGTATCAAAGTCTGTGAATAATTGAACTTCTTAAAAAAAAATTAGGGCAGATTCAAGTATTGTCACTCTCACTCATTTGCATCGCGATTGGCTCTCCTGACTGCAGGAGAAAGGGCTGCAGAGACAGCCAGCACCAGAGCCCTGCACAGTCCCCAAGGTAGATCCTCGGGGAGTGGGGTGCCAGGGAATATCATTACAAGGTGGCAGGGCAGGAGAAGCAAGAACTGCAGCTCTAACCTGGTGAATATGGGATTGGACAAGTGCTGAGTTTTTTAAAAAGCAATGCTTTCTGTTTCACCAGCTCCCTCTCTCAATACAGCTGCCCCAGGGGCACCACTGACACCTGGTGGCCATCAGGGGAATAGCAGGCCTAGTGTCCTGGAAGGACCAGGTAGGGTCTTCCTTTTATCTGCTAGCCAGGGAGCAGAGCTATACGCCCAACTCCAATAATCCCACCTCCCCTAATCCCAAATACCTCCATCTGAAATCGCCCTAACCACTACCTTCTCTATCCCCCATCTTCCTTTCCCAGTTCCTCAAACACAAAACAAACCCAGCCATTTCCACCCTTCAGAGTCACCTTGCCTCTAAATCTTGAAGCCACCATGCCAAAGGGTCCTAAGTGCAGTCACAGCAGGAAGCAGGACATTAGCTGTGCTTGGGTGAGTCAAGAAGACCCTCTGGGGAGGAGGCCCTTGAGGATGGGCAGGAATTGGCCAGGGAGACAATAGGGGAAGGATACCCAGGAAGACAGGATAGAATTCGAGCCAGGCTTTGTAAGAAAAGGACGCAAGGCATGTTTTGTACCAGGATGCACTCTGTGCTTAGTATTTCATGTCACCCTCAGAAACAACCTTGCAAGGGAGCTGTTATTGCTGACATTTTAAGATGAGGAAATTAAGATTCAGGAAGGTAAACTCACCTGCCCAAAGTGGTCAGACATGTCTGTGGCAGAGCCAGCAGGTCTGACATGAACTGTGGATTTGAGCTGGTACAGACCCAGAGGAATTCCAGATCATCCAGGAAAAACCAATAATGTGCAGGGTGGCTTTCAAGTGCACCCACAGTTCTTGGCACTGAAGCCTGCCGGGTCCCCAGAGGCACTGCCAGGACAGAGGAGGGCCCCACGAGGCAGCTGGCACTGGCTGGGCTGTGCTCCCACGCAGGATAGAGAGGGCCGAAGAGACTGAGATTTACGACGGCCATGGCCTTCACGACTTAATGGTCAGAAGTTGAGCTATTTCATCTCATCATACAGTTTTGCCTAGAAATAGCTGCAAACCTTCACTCCAGGATGGCTTTCGGTCATGAGAGGTGACCTGTGTATCTCCTAAATCATGTTAATACCCAGGGCAGCCTGTGCTTCCTTCCCTCTGCAGCATTTTCTGCCATCCGCCAGCCATTTTATTCTCGGAAGGGAAGTCTATCTGGGCCAGCAACGCCAAGGTACGCAGAGGAGGGGCAAGAAGGACACTCTGGTGTGGCTCTAACTTGGGGCTGTCTGCCCACCCCGACAGAGCTAGGTAAACTGTCAAGGAGCAGCAAATTGGCTTGGCCTCCCCCCCCTTTAAGGATTAACATAAATACCCTCCCTTTCTCTCTCCCTCTCTCCCTCTTCCTGCCTCTCTTCTTCCCTCTCCCCCTCCCCACTCTCTCAGCCTCACCTGGCTGTTCCTCCTCACCCTCCAGGACCTCCCTGGGTGGGACTGCTTGCTAAGATGTTCAGATGAAGTCATGACCCCTTCCTCCCAGGAACTCAGTCCTTGAATAAGATGCTCCAAAGTCTTGTGTGTAAGGGGGTTCCCTGTGTTCCCCTGTGCTCTCCCCACAGTGTCCAGGGGCTTGCTTTAGGGCTCTAGGAGTTCAGGTAATGGATGGAGACAGAGCAAACATTGCATCCTAGGTGCAGACTGGGTGATCCAACAGCAGGGTCCTGGGCACAGACCGTGAGACAGGCTCAGCCATGGGCATCGGCTGGTGATGACTCTGGCAAACCGTGTCCTTGCTAGTCCTTCCCACTGTCCACTCACAGCGCTTCCTGACTCACGGAGGGGCCTTCTGAGCCATAGCCCCAGGTCTGCCCCTAAGTCCAGGACCCCACCAGCACCCCCTGGCTTACTCCTCACCCCCTCACTCTCCCCTGGGGTCCCACCCCACACCCTCCAGGCCCTCCACAGAAAAAACTCCCTCACTTTTCTGTCACCATATATCTTGATGGCGCATTAAAAGCCAAATGCAAATCATTAGGGACAGACAGTTGCCCTCCTATGAAAGCAGAGAGTCTGGTCTTCAAACTCTTTCCAGGTGGTGAGGAATTTGTATCCTACCCTGTTGGAGTCATGCCCTCTCCTCACCCTCAACCCCTAGAATAAGCAGTAAATAAAAAGAGGAAAAGGAAAACAGGCCAGTGTCCATCATAAAACAGAGGATGGCTCCTGACAACCCCCAGAGGCCCCCACCTCAGGATGTAACACACCAGCCGCTTTGCACGAACGTTTGGTTATCATTTTATCTTTATCACTTTATCTTTATCTTTGGTTACCTTCTCAGACCTCATCTCTTTCACAGCCAACATGTGAGATGGGCATTATTAATAATAGTTACCATTAAAAACCACCTACTATGTGCTGGGCTCTTTCCATATGTTCCATGTAATCCTCACACCACCCTGAAAGGTAAGCACTATTATTCCCACTTCACAGGTAGGGCTCTGAGACGTTAATTAGCTCGCCCAAAATCATGCAGCTAAAATGTAGCAAGGTGGAGTACGAGTCCAGGTGGGTCCTCACTCGCGTGGGACCCGTGGGCGCTTCTGGGCGTTTGCGCACAGACTATGGCCCTGCAGGGCTGTCGTTCTGGACTCGGCCGGCAGAGGGAGAGCGGAGGCCGTGGGCGGCCGGCGGGGCGGCCGTGGGCCCGGGGATCGGCGAACTCACTCTAAAGGCTGCTTTGCCTGGGCTCTCAGCGCCCCGAGCCCGGCCTTTCTTTCGGCGGCTGCTCTGGGGCCAAAATCTGTGGGCAGGTGGGGGCCAGACTCCGCCAGGGCGTTTCTCCTGCAGGCAGAAGCGTGCCCCGGACAGCGCCGCCCGCACCCTGGGCGTGCTCAGGTGGCTGCAGACACACGGGCGGGGCCTTTCCAGTGCCTGCCTCCTAGGTCCTGGTAACAGTCGGTGATGGAAAGGCTGAGGATTTCTCGGCGCCTGTTTCCCCATCTGTGAAAGCGCACCCCAGACCTCTGAACCCCCGAAGGCAGTGTGTGTGGAGGGGGTGGGGGTCGTCCTCCGCCATTTCAGAAAATCCAAGGGCAGGGACACGTCTGCACTCTCGAAGTCTCCCCAGAGTAGCCGAGGTGCCAGGGGTTGACCAGCCTGCAGACGCTGGTGGTCTCTGTGATCCGAAACCAAGAAATGTCCCTGATGATCAATATGGGAGAATTTAAATGCAAGTACATGCAGCTTCTTAGGTGAATAAGATTATCAAATCACCGAGTCCATGGGAGTTGGGGGTGGGGCTGGTGGTCAGCAGAGGTGTGGTTCCCTTCTGGCTCCCCCAACCCTGCCAGTCCGTGTCGTCCCCCCCCCCCCCCCCCCGCCGGCTTCCTTCTCTCTTCCCTAAGGAGAAATTGTCATGAGTCTCTTAAACCTGGAGGTTCTGTGTCCTCCCCACTGCCAAAGCCATCAAACCTAATTCCAGAATACAGGGCTTTGTTCTCAGAGGAACGAGATGGGCTGGAGGGTGAGGTCCCACAGGTCCTGCCTCCTCCGGAGGAAAATCGAGGTGCTTGGGACACAGTGGTGAGGGCCCCTGGGGCAGTGACTTTCACCAGCCTCCCCTGGTCAAGGGGAGATTCAAGGTGCAAACTCCTGCAATGCAGGGACAGACGACCCAGGCCTGAAAGAGGCCATTCGCGTGGACAGCAGTGAGTCCAGGGAGCAGTCACCACAGTGCCCTCCTTCGGCAGAGGAAAGATGCAAATCCCCCAGTCACCCCAAGCACCCCTCCCCAGACCCCAGGACAGCCTCCGCGTGGACTGCCCAGGCCTCAGCCTCCCTGGGAATCTTGCTCACCCCAGGGAAGCAGCGGCAGCCTGAATTTTTGAACTTTCACCTTGACCTTTCACTGCAGCCTGACCCCGGGAGGTGGGAGCGAGGGGGAGAAAAGGTTTTAAAACAAGGAAGTAAGGCGCTGAAGAGAATGTTAGCAGCCCCCTCTTGGTTGGCTTCATTATCTTCTCTGGCCCCAGCCCCAGTCGGCTGCGAGGCTTCCAGGAGTTAGGAGGCTCGGAGATGTCGCAGGGCTTGACCCTGGTCACACAGCCAGTGGGGAACAAAGCCAGGCCTTGACCTTCTTTTCTGATTTCCATGTCAAGAAAGAAAGAAGGAGGGAGGGAGACAGTGAAGAAAGGCAAGCAAGACGTGTCAGAGGCCAGAAGAGTCCCCATCACCGGGGTGGGGGAGGTGGGGGCCACCCTGCCCTCCGGCCCCTCCTTGTGCCTGGGATTTGATCGCTCTGCAAGTTCAGCGACTGTTCAGTGACAATACTCAGGGCAGGCTGGACTGCTCCATCCAAATACAGGTGCCCCCAACCCCTGAATTTATGAGACCCCCAGACCTAGGGGGCCTGCAGCAGTAATACAAGGAGCCTTCTGCCAGCCCAGGGGCATTCCAGCAGCAAATCCTAGAGACGTGTTGAACCCATCACTGCTTCCTGGGGGGGGGGGGGGGGGTAGGAGGGTGGGAGGGACATTAAAGGACAGGGCTGCTCCAGGCCTCCTCAGAGTCCTCGAGCCTCTTGCCTCCCTGCTGCCTTCCTCTCCCCACCTCTCTCCCACCTCGGGCACTTCTCTCCGGGATTCCCTAACTGCCTCCTTCCCTCCTTCCTGCCCACTCCGGGCCCTGCCTCCCCCAGCTCACCCTGGGGGCAGCTCAGGCCCCGGTGCAAACATCCCCCACCCCCCTCCCACAACTTCAGCGCCTTCTGCTGCCCTCTGGACTCTACCCGGCATGCTCCATTCTGCATTCTGGCTCTCAGCGACCCTTCGACATTCTCTCTCCTCGCTTTCTGTCAGAACCTTCCCTCCTGGTTTGTTTCTGTTCCCCATTGTCTTGAGAGAAGGATGCCCTTGCGCATTCTTGCTTTGTTCTTTCCCAGCTCTCCTGACACCCCACCACCCCCTGCTCACACACTCCTCCCCCTCTGGCCTCCGGAGTCCTTCCCCTCCTCCTCCTCCACATCCTTGTTCCAGCCGCCCCACTCCCCGGACCTTCCCCAGGCCAGCCCTGCCTGGGGAGACCTCTCCTCTCTGAACAGCAATCCCCACACCCTTCTCCTCCACTCCCTGGGCTCATTCTCTAACTCAAAAGCTGGCTGGGCCCCTGAAGGAGCCCCTGCAGGAGCCCCGAGGCCAAGGGCCTCTTCTCTGATTTCCTAGGTGGGAGCTCAATGCCTGTTTGTGGGTTGACAGTGATTCTGACATTCAGTCATCTCTGCGTAACCAGCTCTGGCAGCAGCGCATGGAGAATGAGATTGGTTCTCAGAGAGTTCCAGTCGTGCATTTTGGAGGGACAAGCCTGCTTGGAAAGTTTATTGCAGGAGAGGCAGGCTAGCCGCTCCATCATGAGTGTGGGCTCCCCTCACCCAGTCTCAGTGGCAAGTCGGAATCTCTATCTGGAGTTAATGGGTCTGCCGTCGTCTCTTCTCTGCACTGCGAATGGACCAGCACGCTGACCCATTCATCCCACCGCCCCCACAGCACCCAGCACGTCACTGGGGGCCCACATGTGTGTACCAGCTTCACTGGGGTGTTGTTACCGTACTGCCTTAAGGCTCAGAGGGGTTT